CCAAACTTCCTTATACACTAGTTCTATCCAGATATTCCAGAACAGGCTCCAGAATCTGGTTGTCATGCTTTCAGATCCGATAGTATTTTTGATTCTTTAATAAATTTTAATTTCTATATCGAAATTATGATTTATTTATAGTATATTTTGCTCTAATATTAGAATTATTACCCAAGCTTTGTAATTCTTTTGAGTTTCTTATTCCCAAAGCTTGTTTAATAAATATATGCTAAAAATAAGCATTTGATAAGAATTTTAATAGTTCAAAGATATAATAATTTTTGTGAATTTGTTAATTTTCAAGCATTTTAAAAAAAATCCTGTAACTGTTAAAATTATGTAATAACTATTGCTTCGATTATATTAATGCTATAGCAAATATTAAAAAATATATATTATTTCGCTTTTCAAAACAAATATATAACATAAAAATTTAATTAGCTATGGGTATAGTAATACGTAAGATCTTTTACTTTTCACTACGAAATTTTAATAATAATTGGATTAAATGTGGATATCCGTATCCGTTAATTTTAATAGAATTATCCGGACCAATTTTGTAATTTTTATCTAAGATGATTAAACTAAACTACTTCTCTTTGACAGTGGTAATACTTTGCAAGATTGACACATAGCACTCGTTCTACGAAGTTTACAGATGCTACTAATATTTATGGCTTTGAATTTTCTCCTGAGATTTTTATTTAGCATTAATATGTTATCATCAGATTAGACCTCAGATTCTTACATACCGATACTTGTATCTACCACATTTGCAATCAATGAACTTCCCTTATTTAAATCCAGATATGCTAATAGTGATTCGAATTCTATCCTTCGGACAAGCATAATAATATTTTCTTTCAAATCCAAAACTTATCAACTATACATAAAGTTTTGGGTGGTTCAATAGTAAAATACATTAACAGTAAATTTAAATTTAATATTAATCAAATTTAACTGCGAAAAAATAGACCGGACGATAAAATCGCCAAATTCAAAATCTGCAACATAATAAAACCAATTCTTATACTATATGGGTACCGTCAGAAGAAAATCTTTTTAGAACATCATTTACCGACAAATTTAATTACGTATATCGATATGTCACAGAGAATGATAAGTAATAAATTCAAAATCAGACGTTCGGTTTTACGGCAGTAATCATGTAACTTTATGCGGTTCAGAGAAGTCAATCACATGCCTTTTGTTGTACCTTACAGTAAATGCCATAACTCTAACTTGTTTTATATTTCAAATAATTATACGTAACCGAATAGAGAGAAAAAAAAGAGACAATACAAAATCATTAAACAAAAGTATGATTTGTTTATTTAACTTGTATTAACAGTATTAACAATATAAACAATTTAAACAATTTAAATCTCATAATCGTATGAATGTAGGAAGATAATTGTAACTGAAAGTTCCAAAAAAAACCAAAACTTAGGTATGACAGAAAGATAAACTTGATGTGAATTTCGGCACTTATTAATGATAAAACCATGCTACAGTGCTATTGGCACTTAGAGTATATAATAACTCTCTACTAGTATTACTTCACATCATCGCGGCAACTTTTATTTTACCAAATTCTTCCGCCGTAATTACCTTTTCACGAATAAAAAAAAGAAAAATTAATGATAAATTTAGTGGTTACTTGAAGTGGGATAAGTGAAATAATATATTATATACCCTGATGTGAGATGAGGGATTAATTGCTAATGTCGACGATGTTAAGAATTGTCCTCTAATTACCAAAAAATAGATTAGGAAGATTAGGAAGGCGTAAGTCATACAAAAAATACAAGCGTAATTAATTAGGACTTACATAACATTAATCTCGTCACCAAGAACACCCCAATTACCATTACCAGCTCCTGATTTTTTTGGTTGGCCACGTATATCTGTTAACGTCCCGCTAAAAAAAAATAAAATTCAATTATATATAAATAAGATGTTATATAAAATTTATAAAGAAATTTAAAATAATCGTAATTACCGTTGAAAATGTTTTTCGTGATTAATATATTTTTTACTTTGATCGAATGGCATTTTATAATTTAAACTTTTAAAATGTAAGAAAAATTATCGTAAATTATCGTAAATGAGAGAGAAGAAATTATTGATTTTGTTATGTAAGTTGTGCTTTTTTAGAAATAGCGATAGAGAATTAACTTCTTTTATAGATAATGAAATTCAAAATTCCCACACTAGGCTTTTAATTATGATTGTACGAGAAGGTCAGCAGATATCTTGTGAATTCTCGTAAATTCTAGTCCAACGAAATATTACGCCATTTGTATTTATTTATGTAAAAATCTGCAAATGACTCATCATTGTATATGCTGATCACTAGTAATTTCTTCACACGATAATACATTATTTTCCTAGTTTAGTCAATGGCGTGGTCTCTGAGAAAATAATATTCCTAATTTAGAGTCAATGGCGTGGTATGTTTGTTTGTAGATGAGTCATGAGCAAATTACTTGATTATCTATCACTACAATCTATCTATTTATGTCATATTTGTTAAATTAGCGTTTAGTGTTAGTTTGAGCTATTGGTACGTATTAGAAATGTTCATTATTTTACCCCAACGTCTAAAATAGTACAAAATCGAATTGTGGCCTATATATTCGAATAAAAGGCTTATCGTTATAATTAGCTTCAAATAGTTGAATCTGATGACTTTGTGGCTAATAGGGACCAGGAAAATCTTGATTGCAAATTTTTTTGGTTGGTTCATAACGATAATACTTTAAATTTATGTTTGTTTTTTTTATTTGAATGTAAATTTAATGTATTGTACCTTTTTCTTTTAAAGTATCACAAATAATAGCTGCATACAACGAAGCTGCACAAATGTTTCGCATTCAATTTAAAATGTACGTAGTGTGACAGACCAGTGTGAATCGCTACGTACTGTACGTACGTGTTTAAACTACTAACAGCTAATCTATGATCCAAAAAGCTTTCCTGCTAATTACTAGATTTCGAACCCGTCATTAAATGACAAGTACAGTGATAATACTAAAAAATAGTTGGAACCGGTTGCAAAAAAAACCGAATTGAGAGAGATGAAACTGGAGAAAAAATATATATAACGGCCAATTAGAAACTCAGATTTGTGAAACTTAAATTCAGGGATCTTTAGTTTGACTGAAATAACGCACGTTTTTTCGAATCATACATTTATGTCAACTTTTCTAAATTGTTACAACTTTTTGCTGTTTTTTTTTTATGCTCAACAATAGTCAATTCATCGGATTTTTATATCTAGTCATGAACTAACTGATGAAATCTGAAATAAATATTTTTTCGCAGAAACATTAAAATAAATTATTAATTTGAGGGGTGTTATTGATTACATTACGTATACATTCCATGCATTACTATAAAAAATAAATTCATTAAACTGTTTTTTTATAATCATAAAAATTCACTGCAATGTAGGGATGGCAGAAATCATGTTTTAAATGATTTAAAAATTATTTATATCTTTTACTACGTAATCACAATAATTATACCATGTCTCGAAATTGATTTAAATCGATTTAAAATGGTGACACTAAACAACCAATTAACTTTGAACAGCCTAAGCAATATGCCACGCATATATTTGTGTCCCAGCTATCTTTACAACTTTTTAGCATTGCAGTAGGGATTGCATGTAATTTAAAAGGTTTAAAATAAATTTTTAGACGAGGGAGGGGATAATTTAAACAAACGCATTAGAATAAACACGATTATTCGGGAACTTTTCGTAAGAATTTTCGTCTAAAATTATTTTCTCCTTATTCTAACTTGTGATTAGCTTGTTTAATTTCGGGGGACGGTTGACCGAGGGGTGAAGTTAACTAATCAACTCTGAACGGCCTTAGTATCGGATGGGGTTTTTTTATACCCTCCTCTTTATTTTTGGTTCTAGATTGATTAATTTTTCAACGAAAGTAATATCCATCTAAGAAACCCTACTAGAGCTTTCGCTAAAAATAAAATCTCCGAGGTTTATTACTCCCACCCTACACAACTTTTCACGATATCTATTAGTACAAGATAACGAAGTAGATCAAATCTCTATGTATTTATTTTTTGATGACATCACAGATCTATCTAAATAGGCTTTTAATTATATTGATATCAGTTACGTATCTAATTCAAACAATTGATAAAATTACTTTAAATAGTTGGATCATCCAATGGATTTTTTAACGGATCCATCAACAGGTCAACCTAGCGACTTCGTATACACTACATACTTTCTTATATATCTTCTCTAGGTAAACCATCATATAAAAGTTGTGGATTTAAAGAGATTCAACCGATATCAGTTCGAATTATGAATGGCATCATGATACTATGTAAAATGACAATCATAATTATCATTATCCAATTGAAGTTGACGAAGAGTTCGATCAATAGTCATGAAATCAATCTTGATCACGTGTATCATGCTCATCATGCATAATACATTTTGCCCATCTCTAGTTCGAGTTTCGACTTTGCCACGTTTCATAGCAGTATAAGTTACAGAAGCTTCCTAAAAAAGCATTGTAAAAATTTTTTTATCAATCGTGTAACGATCTTGAAATTGGGCGGTCACTTCTAGAATGAGTTCGTAACCAAAATTCAGCAGGTCGACCAAAATTTCAGGTCGGAATTGGTCAGCATTGATCAGCATTATTAAAAATCACTAAAAAATTTTACTAATAAAGTTATAGTCCATTTACTAAGGATAATTTTACTATAGACTTTGTCAAATAGTATGAATTCCGACCTGGAATTTGGAGGCAGCACTATAAGATTTATATCTTACCCTCTAATAGCCAGATAAGCCGATTTTAGATATCGAATTGGTCGAATTGAGGATTATGATCATGTACAGGGAATTTGGAAAATAGTATATGGATACTGTGATATTTAATTTACAATGAGTAATCGACCTCGATGAGTTTACTGAATCATCTGATTGGTTAAATTAAGTCGAAAAAACCTAGAGCTACGACCACTGGGTATTGCACATCAAATGATTTAATATTATATTGCAGTGCCATGGCACTACGTATGAAAGATTTTTTAATTTTTATCGTTATTAAAAAAAATTCAGCATAGTAATTTATTATAAAAATCGCGATTTTCAACATTATTACTCCCACTCTAGCAAAGCAAATTCAATTCTGTAATTTCAAATGATATATAAATAGTGTAGTTTTAAAACTATGTTGAGACATTTTTTAATTCATTTTATTAATATAGTTAAAAAATCAAATATTTTTTTAATTACAAATTTAAATAGTAAAATATTTACGATTTAAAAGTCCAAGCTATAGAGACCCGAAATATTTACATATTATTCTTAAATGTCTCAAATAGTTTTATAATTATACTATTCACAATATTGTTTGAAAGTTACAGAATTGAATTTTACTTTACTAGAGCGGGAAATAGCGTTTTGAAGATCTGTGATTTTTATATAATTTTTATATAATAAATTACTATAATGAATTTATATAAAAATCACATATCTTCAAAACGTTCTAACTTCCGCTCTAGTAAAGCAAATTCAATTCTGTAAATTGCAAACAATATGCGGATGCTATAGGTATAAAACTATGTTGAGATATTTAAGAATAATATGTAAATATTTCGAGCCTCTATAATATAAATTTATAAGTCGTGAATATTTTACTATTAAAATTCGCAATAAAAAAAAAAAGTTTTAGAGCATGTGCGTTGTGACGCTAGGGTGGTAACTCAACTAATTAAATCAAACATTAGTTAGCAGGCAAGGGATATTTCCTCTTACAGGGGTTCAAAATGTTTTAATTATAGATCAAATAACTTGATATATTTCAATTTCTTAATTTATTAAGAAAAATTTTTTTTTAAAGTGGGATCTTTATTTTTTAATATTTTTTTTTTTATAAATTTTTGCAAGGTATTAGATATATAACTTTAAGAAGATCTTGATTTAAAGTTAAACTTTTCTTGATTATATTCTTTAAGTTAGTGTTCCTATGAACCTGAACTAAACTGAACTTTGGTTAGGTTTAGGTTTAGGTTCAGTTTAATAGTGAACTAAATTTGAACTTTTTTAAAAAAAAAGTTTAGTTCAAGTTCAGTATTGAACTTTTAATTCAAGTTCAGGTTCAGTTTAAATTTATAAATTTAAGTTTAGTTCAGGTTCAGGTTTAATAATCTGCAAAACTTGAAGTTTAGTTTAGGTTCAATGAACTTGGTTCATAAACCTAACCTAAACTAAACTAAATCTAAGAATATTACTTTTGAAAATTTTAATAATTTTCATAATTTTATTAATAAAATTATGAAAATTTCTATAATTCTTAAAATTTTACTAACTAATTTTATTTTATATTCTAAATAATTTTGTTCTACATATAAAAATACATCATATCAGCATATATTTACTTTATATATTTTAATATTAAGAAAAAAGATACATAATTTTAAATTTTTAATAAAAAATTCAAAATTAAATATCTTATCTTTAAAATTAAAAAATATAAAGTAAGTATATACTAATATAATATATTTTTATATGTAGAACAAGGTTACTTAGGGCATAAAAATAAAATTAATTAGTAAAATTTTAGGAATTATAGCAATTCTCATAATTTTATTAATAAAATTATAAAAAATTTTATAATACTCAATATTTTATTAACTAATTCTATCTTTATATACTAAGTAATCTTGTTCTATATATAAAATTATATTATATTTATATATATTTATTTTATAATTTTTAATTTAAGAAAAAAATACTTAATTTTAGATTTTTTATTAAAAATCTAAAATTAAGTATTTTTTTTTTAAAATTAAAAAATATAAAGTAAATTTATACTGATATAATATATTTTAATATATAGAACAAAGTTAGTTATATATTATATATAGAATTAATTAGTAAAATTTTAATAATAATAGTAATTTTTATAATTTTATTAATAAAATTATAAAAATTTTTATAATACTTAAAATTTTATTAACTAATTCTATCTTTATACTCTAAGTAACCTTGTTCTATATAAAAAAATATATTATTTGGTATATATTTACTATATATATTTTAATATTAAAAAAAAAATACTTAATTTTAATTTTTGATAAAAAATTTAAAATTAAGTATCTTATCTTTAAAATTAAAAAATATAAAATAAATATATGCTGATATAATATATTTTTATATATAAAACAAAGTTATTTAGAGTATAAAGATAGAATTAGATTAAAATTTTGAGTATTATAAAAATATACATAATTTTATTAATAAAATTATAAAAATTATTATGATTCTCAAAATTTTACTAATTAATTCTATTTTTATTATATAATTAACTTTGTTCTATATATAAAAATATATTATATAAGTATATATTTATTTTATATTTTTTAATTTTAAGAAAAAAATACTTAATTTTAGATTTTTTTTTTTTTTTTTTTTTTTTACAAATGATCTCTTTGGCCAGACACTTTATTAAATTTTTGTCATAATTTATTACAAGTAATAATTATAACTAGTTTAATATCTATATACAATTTTAGAACTAATTTATCTTTGAGATATATTTAACCTAATTAAAACTAACTCATTATAGTATTAATCAGAGTTTATGCTATAACTATCCTTATTAAGTCACTTTTTCTGTATTTACTACATTACTTATATTCTTATAGAGATACTACTAAATAGATACTATGAATTATATAAAGTATTATAATTCTTATAAAAAACTTCCTATTTAGTGTTTAGTTATCTAAACCTGTATACCTTCTAATTAGCTTACAATACTTAATCAAGGCTTACAACTAATACAACTACTGCAAAACTAGATATACAATATTTATAATATATAACTATATTTATATACAGTACTACTATTAATACTAGATACTCTCATATATTAGTAGTATTACAAGTAGTATAGCCTTTTTAATATACTACAAGTAATATAAAATACAGAAGGGAACTTCTAATAGTATCAAAGTAGAATATTACATCACTGTAGTAGTTCATTTAAAGGAAGTATTAGGCAAGGCCAAGACTATACTTTATTAAGGAATTAATAAAGAACTTTAGACTTTATTAAGTACTATATTATTTTAGAACTTAATACAGAACTATACAGAACTATATTAAGTACTAACTAAAAGACTGTCAAAATTACTTTACAAGAGAATAGAAAAGCTAGAGTTTATATATCTTTTTCTAAATATTGCTAAATATTCTTAAATATAGTAAAATAAAGCTAAACATTATCAATCATAGCTAAATATTATTAAATATAGTTAAATATTATCAAATATAGTTAAATATTATCAAAACACTCTTTCCGACAATCCTTTTTCTCAAAAATTTGAAAAAGCAAAAAACAAAAATTTTATTGAGGAAGATGAAGAAGTTTCTTTTACAATACAACAGTTTTTATAAAGGTC